AATAAATTATTGTGATGGAAAAAAATTATTGAAAACTATCCAAACATTGACGGCAGTAATACCACAAACGTTGTAAGACCTTGCGAGCGTCATGTGCGAGCTTCACATCTCATAATAATTTGTAGCATCAAGTTTGCCAACTCTATGTCGCATTTCGTACAACTGTAGTGAGTGACAGTGCTTGGCTTCTACTGTGTGCAGCGGCCTGTAAACACGTTAGCATGGATACTACTCAGGATTATGGCAATAAATTATTGTGATGGAAAAAAATTATTGAAAACTATCCAAACATTGACGGCAGTAATACCACAAACGTTGTAAGACCTTGCGAGCGTCATGTGTGAGCTTCACATCTCATAATAATTTCTAGCATCAAGTTTGCCAACTCTATGTCGCATTTCGTACAACTGTAGTGAGTGACAGTGCTTGGCTTCTACTGTGTGCAGCGGCCTGTAAACACGTTAGCATGGATACTACTCAGGATTATGGCAATAAATTATTGTGATGGAAAAAAATTATTGAAAACTATCCAAACATTGACGGCAGAAATACAACAAACGTTGTAAGACCATGCGAGCGTCATGTGTGAGCTTCACATCTCATAATAATTTCTAGCATCAAGTTTGCCAAGTCTATGTCGCATTTCGTACTACTGTAGTGAGTGACAGTGCTTGGCTTCTACTGTGTGCAGCCGCCTGTAAACACATTAGCATGGATACTACTCAGGATTATGGAATTTTTTTAATTTTGCAACTACACAGTGATTTTTCCCCATTTGTTGTGCATTAAATGAGTATCATGACAAAAATCTGGCACTAAAAATAGGAGGAAATTTTCTCGTGTTCAGCCCTACTACCTCAATAATTAGGGTTTATTCACAAATATATTGTCTGTAGAGGAAAAAAATGTAAGTAACCTTTTTACTGTGCCCGGAGTTTAGGTGTGATGCTATAATTCAGGCTTTATACTTTCTCCAAGCTGTAATTCATTTTCCGTTTAGCATGCGCACATAAAGATAAACAATCATATGGATTTTTTGGACAAATCTTGCAGTCGAAGTTACGTGTCTTGTCCGTCATAAAACAAATTTGTATTTTGGTTTGCATGACAATAACATTTCATCAAAAATTCCTTCTGGTTCAGGATTAAAACGAAAATAATTGCTTCTAATCAGCAAGTAGACAGTTTCAGATACATTAACGAATTTGTAATTCAATAAGAGCTTAACTAAGATACTTAGACTATCGAATCTGAGAAATAATATAACTTATCAGAATTACTTGGATTGTTTTTTAACACGGCAGTTTCCAAGTTTTGTTTTACAAATGATTTTCATGAACTTTGTAGGTTTTCAAAATAAAAAAGCAGACATAAAACTTTAAAGATGAATATCTTTCTCATGAGGTTCAAAATTATCTCTTTTGACAATTTTGGGAATTTTAGGTATTGCTATGATTATTTATTTTACTCAACGTAAGGGCTCGAAATTTTGATAGAGCACAATTCAAAACAATTTAGGAAAAGTCTGAAAATATGAGCGTCAAAGCTAGCGTGTATCTTTAAAATCAATATTAGAAATGGCGAAAATGAAACCCCGCTTAAAGTGTACCTTACGTTGTTTCTAATTTAAAATATAGGTGTCACCCTCTCATAATATCAAAAAAATCGTTAATCAACAAAAGACAGGCTCTAGTGAGGAATTTTGAAAAAATTGTATTTTTGAAATTTGATTTCTCATGAACTATTCGACGAGTTTCGTTCTAGTTTTGTATTTTGCCATTTAAAATTACAATCTCTAAAGTAATGTAAATAATTGTGCATTTTACTATTCAAAACTTTTTCAATATTGTCAAAATAATGAAAAGATTAAATATTATCGGATACTAGGTATTTTGTTTAATATTATTCATGTGGTTTGGAACATTTCATAACAATATTCATAAAAAGAAAAATAATGAAATGGTAAACTCTACCTAGAACAAATCCATCTTTACTCCATTGAACGGCTCCAACTTGATTGCCAATGTGACATTGCAGATCTGATGACTGGCCTTCTATGATTTCTGTATCCTGTGGTTTTACCCTGAAGTATTGTTGGTTACATTCACCTAAAATATACAATTATATATATATTTATTTAAATAGTATTAATTTATTTAATGAATTATTTTGTAGACATATTTGTGCATTTGTAAAAGTTACAATATCATCTTTCATCAGTCGTAAATTATTAAGATAGATTGAGACAGCAAAGATTTATTAACTGGATATTTTAGTTTGATATAAGGTTTTTCTTCGATTTTAAAACGCTCTATTGATATGATGCCTTGCTTTTTTTAAGACCTGTAAACGGAGTTGGAATAGGCTGAACTCAATCCGTTATGACAAGATTCTGGAATACTACCCAATTAAAAGATAGCCCATAGCTGCAGATGCCATTTTTCATGATAGGCTGATCTAAATCTCACAAATTAGAATATTCGCTTGAATATTCCCTAGCACGTGACTCAACAAGCATTTTACTAAGTGATGATTGATTTTTGATTTTTGGTTTTCGTTTCGAGTTAAAAATTGAGCTGATATTCACAAATAGACAATTTGCTACTTTAATTATAATCGGAAAATAGTATTGGCGCAATACCACATTACATTACTAAAAGGTAGATCGAACAACAGAAGATGGTAACAGTCACCCAACCTCCGCACCACACTTCTTTACCACTGAACGGTTGTTGAACTTCATAGGCTCTGCTACCGTCGGGGACATTACGATAGAGTGGATTCCGAACCACTAATATACGGTCGTAAGAAGAGAAAACTGATCGGACAACCAGCTTTTAAAATAGGAAATCGAAAGCTGGATTAAGCAAGGGTTGGCGATGACCAAAACCACCAGGCTGACCGGAAGGGGAGTTCGTGAGTGAGAGAGAGAGAGAGAGAGAGTAAAAAAAAGTCTTAAATAATCGCGTTATAAAAAAGTGAGTGTTTAATGGTAAAAGTGACTTTCAATTTTTAAATCTCCAAAACAGTAATTATATTTTCATGATTATTTTAATGCATGTTTAATAAGCATTATACATATATTAAAACATATATGATTTATGATCATATATGATTTAATATAGTTAAATAGATTAAATCCTATATTGTTTTAAGTTAATAAAATGATTATGTTAATTAAGAAGTGTTTTATAAATAATTTATCCATAAATTTATTTTTAAATTAAGAAGTGTCTTATAAATAATTTATCAATAAATTTATTTTTATTCAATCTTATACTTAGCCTTACACGCATTGAGATAAACAATCTTACTCAACTATCAAACAGCATTTACAAAATAATGTAAATATATACATTGAAAAGAGAGAGAGAAAAATATATTTTTCTAATTTTAAAAGCTTAGATTTTGATTTTGCGAATTAAATAAAATAGTAACATAACATGCTTTTATGTTTAAGTTACAAATTTCTATTTATTAATAAATTCTAATTGAAATTTAATTTCTCCGGAGTAGTTTTCTCTTCCACTCTTGTTAGGATAATTTTTAAACTCTATTAATTTAATTTTTTTTTATTTCAAGCGTTATGGTTTTCATTTTGTTAAGAAAGAAAAGCGCTTATTAAATTATGGAATATTGCTTTTTATTTAATAACAATGCTTTCCCTTATGTAAGGTTCCTTAAAATCATAAGACAAGATTAAAAAAATAAAATCACTGTAAAAAATTTTAACTTAAGTTGATAATACATTTTTTCAGAAAGGAATGCGCTATTTAGCTTTTTAAATTTGTTATGCAAAATAGTTTATTACCATTTAGTTACTTAGAATGTACCAAGAAAAGCATAAACAGAGCACGAAATCTCTGTTTCATTGCTAATTTTCTTGAAATTATTCATAATCAATAGTGTTTAAGTTACTATTGTTTTTAGGTATAAAAACTACAGTTTTGTACTAGTCGGATGTGAATATGTGAATAAAAGATGTATTGGATTCACTGAATAGTTTTGACGTTGAATTGATGGAGGTGAAAACCGAATCGATAAGACTAAAAGTTTGAAAAAAAGAAAAATCTTATTGTCTTATTTTACTAAACAAATTTAAAAACTTTATATAAATCCACTGCAAACAAATTGACTATATCACGGTTGAACGCTTAAACAACTTTTCTGACAGTAAACTTTACTACCATTCACTGCTGATCAATAAAACCGTACTTTAAACCTTATTACAATGGGAATTTATATTTCAAGGTCAAATTACAGAAAAGTACCAGTACTTTGGGTGCATCATCCGTAAAACCTATTTTACCGTAAAATCCTTTTTCATTGTGAAAAATAATAGTAACTCTTACATTAATATCTACTTAATGGAAGTGATTCAGAGATTTTGCTATAATTATTACTGTAAAAATTACGGTATATCAAATCTTTTGTCCCGTAACATGTTCCAGTAAAAATTAATTTTACTGTAAAAAGTACCGTTATCTTAGTGCCGGTATATTTTACCATAACTTGATCCGGAAATTTTTAAAATGTCACTATTTCATTACTTCTATTACATTAAATGTAAAAGAAGTGCGATAATACAGTTAAATTAGTCCCGGTGTTAAGTTGAATGGTATAATGTTTCAATTTATCACACAGTTTGATTACACTGTTTCATAAATTATGTCTGTAGTTAAAATATCTGAACAAAGGATACGTTGCTTTAAACATGCTCTAATACAATTTTTCAAAGTTTGTTTCTCAATTATTTCAAAACAAATTTTCAGTTCTCTAATTTTTTTACCATCGAAACCACAAAGTAAAAAACTTACCGGTATTTCTGTATAAACTCTCTATTCTTAACACAATAAAGTCTTCCGGTAAACTAATAAGCTTTCATTTTAGGGAAATCACTCAATTACATTAATTACAAGCGAAAATAATGGTATCATTCAATCTTTAAGCTTATGATAAGTTTTTTTTAAAAAAAAAAACGTCTTTTATCTGATAAGACGTAACGCTTCTATTGTAAGGAACATTTTTGCCTTTCTAGATTTAGAAGACAATGGATGAAATGTGTTGTTCTCCAACGAAATCGCTTCATTATCTTAAGACAAATTACGCGCCTTTGTTTGCGAAGCTTAAAGACAGTCAGTGAGAAACTGATGCGATCCAATTAGCACAAGACTCACAACGCTTTCCAACAATATATCACATTTAATGAGAAAAATGAATTTAACACTGTAAATGAATACATATAATTATTGAGTAGGAAAGTGACGTGAGTTAAAAGAATGGAAATAGTCATACCTGTTTATATTTTATTCTTTAGTAAATTGTGCTTATTTATTTTAAATTGTTAATGCATTGAGAAAAGAAAGTACTGTCGAAGCTACCAAAAGTTATTGAAATTTATAGTGTCTCTTGCTCTATAAGAACACCAAAAAGCTTGATAATTTTAGCTGAAGTGCTTTGGAAATAATATTGGTAAAATTAACAATAAAATATTATTTAATAATGAGTGATAAAACTTGGTGAAGGTGGTGAAATTTGGTAAATACATATCATGTTACTTTAAAGCATGGCATAAAAACCTATCATTCTGCTACTTTTACTTTTTTGTATTTTTTACTAAATGTGAGGTTATAAAAACTGTAATTTTGAACACCAGAAATCTCAGTGAACCGCTATCATATAATGAAAAATTTACCAAGCGAATGGTTTAAATGCCGTGGATTTTAGTTTTATTAACCATAATTAAATATTTCTTAACCAGAAATGTTATTATATAACAGAAATTAAATGAATTTTTTTTTCTCTGTGAAGGAGATGCATGGTACTAACATCATATAGATCTCCTAAAAGCCCATTTATTATATATTTGAGTAAACTTATTTAAAACTTAGATAGTTTGAGTCTCAACTCTTAGGTATCAGTATTGAGTAAATTAAAATTTGAGAGAAAGAAAGTTCGATGGAAAATTTTTTTCATATAGGCATAAAAAATATTAAATAAAACTAGTTGGAAAGTTTAAGTTAATTTTAATTCATAATTAAACATGTCAAATAAATGTAAAGACTGGTTTCAAACTTTTTATCAAACTTTTACTTGATTGTGCTATATTTTATTTCTTTATTTTATTTCTATTAAAAAGCTAGATCTGTCCACTAAGTTAGATCTGAGATATTCTTTTAACTTAAAGAAGCTTATAACAGTTACAGTTGGCTTCGTTTTGGCGTAAAAAGAACTTGCAAATGAAATGAATTCATTCGCATGAATACTAATAGTGAATAATTGCACAATTTGATTTTGACCACGTTAAAAATTTTGATCACGTTACCGCGATACCGTACGAACATGTAAGAGACAAAACTAAATCCCCTCTTATTTGGGCAATATGCTTTTTTTGGACTTGTATATTATTTTGAATTTTGACCAAACGATTTTAAATCCTCAAATACTTGATATTATTCTTATTGAAAATAAGTCGGAACAGATGGTTGCAGAGATGGCTAGTTTCAAATTAAATTTAAAAACCATTACTTAATAACTTTTATTTCATGTAATGTGCGTTGAATCATTTAAAACTAGCAAAACACAGTCTGATTTCACCACTTCGCAAATCTTGATTGGCTCGTACGGGCATTAATGTAAAGCATCAATTTGAACAAACTCTTGATAATTATAATAACAATTCTAATCTCCTTGTTTTAGAAATTAGTTTTTATATAAATTTATTAAAAATTTAGATTATTTAGATAATTTTGAATAATTGAGACACAATATCTGTTACGTAGAAGATTAAACTAGGTTTCGAATACAGCATTTACAGAAATAATATTTTTATATATGTCTTTAAGGACATTGGAGAGAAAAAAACCTAAAAGTATACAACGTGAAAAATTTTTTAGATCTACTTTACAAATCTGAGATTACTCTGATGTCGTTAATGTTTACAAAATCGAATGCTTTTTTTTCATCCTACCTATTGAATTTTAATGAAAGACCATATGGCTGAAAAAATAACAGCAAACGTATTTTGATAGGAAAGAAACTGGTTACCTTTGGCTATCGGCTGAGTCATCGTCACAATCCTAACTGTGCTGTGTGTCATTACGGTAAT